GGGGGGGGGGGGGGGGGGGGGGGGGGGGGGGGGGGGGGGGGGGGGGGGGGGGGGGGGGGGGGGGGGGGGGGGGGGGGGTCGTACGTACGTGACTGCTTGTTTTTCGCAAGCAGCTTGACCTTTCAGCTTGCAACGGCACAACGTCTAGCTGCTATTTTTTTGTTTGTCGGGGCCGTTGCACGTGCGTTCCTGCTCCCACTTCCATGTCAGCTGTCTGTCTTGCCCTTACCGGTGTTTGTTCGTTGTTGCCCCTCTCCCCCATGCTGCAGCAAGCACGTTTTGGACGAGGCGGAGCGGTCGTTGCACGACGCCCTGTACAAACAACACACGCCAAACCTACCTTTTTTATTTCTTGTATATTCCGAGGTTGCCGTTTAAACGTTTCGGGTTGTCTAATCCGCTGTTCGTCTAGCCCGGTGTATGCACTTGCCTGTCTTTGTTCGCTGTTCACCCTCCTCCCGCGCGACCCTCGTGCCCCGCACGCAGCAAGCACGTTTTGGACGAGGCGGAGCGGTCTTTGCACGACGCCCTGTGCGTGCTCACCCAGACCGTGAAGGAGACTCGAACGGTCCCCGGCGGCGGCTGCACCGAGATCGCCATGGCCGCAGCCATCGACGCGGAGGTAAAGCCCACTTATGACGAAAGAAGATGTCACAACCCATGGACCGATCTTCAGCCCACTACCGTGGGTGACGTAAGATAACACACCCCCTTGACCGATCTTCAATTCAAACTACTCCATGGCGAAGGAGAGGACGCAAAATCGAACATAACCGAACGCTCTCGACGAGACGTTTCCCTCGCCCCTATACTTTCGGCATCAGCACTCGTTCTACTGCTGCGGAGTTGCGGGGCCTTGGATAATCGGTCCAGGGAGTGCGATATATTCTGTCACCTACAAGTATTGACAACGTGCTTGTAAGGCTGGAGGGGAAAGCCCATGCGGCGAGGGGAAGTGATGTTGTGTGCCGAGGGACAAGAAGTGCCGCAGATGTCGACGAACAGTGTGGGGCGGGTGGGGAACGTGTTCCGTTCGGTGAAGGGTAGCGAGACAGTGTGTCGGTGGTGCAATGAAACATGCTGAAAGACCGGGCGGCCAAAACGGGGAACGTGCTGCTGACGTTGAGGACGGGTGAGGGATAGTGAATCGTGGCCAAGGGGCGCTGGAATTTATGCCGCTTTTCAGCGCACAAAATGCCTCGGACTCTACAGGGGACCGGGGGTGACAGCCGTAGCGTAGCAGGAGATTCCAAGCCCGGTTCTCGTTGCACATGATTGTTGTGAGAATGAATCACGCTTAGTGCGATTGCACCGCGTACGATACGACGTTGTCTGCTTGTCGGTTGTGCTCCTGTCGTAAACTGTGTTTTGGGTTCGCGACTCGCGTTCACCCCCGAACATGCATCGGAAAAATCTTCTCCAACACCCAGACGTAGGGTCTTGAACCCTCAAGCCCGTCGACATAGCCATCGCGCCGTGCGCTCGAGTGTCGGTCTCGCGGGCAGCAAGCGTATAGCCCATTTCCTGCGTGTTGTTGTCGTTGCTGCTGATGCCCCTGTTCGGGCGCCCCGCAGGTGCCGAACACGTCGGGGAAGAAGGCGCTAGCGATGGAGGCCTACGCGAGGGCGCTCCGGCAGCTGCCCACCATCATCGCGGACAACGGGGGCTACGACGGCTCCGATCTCATCTCTAGCCTTCGCGCCGCACACGCCCAGGGGGCCAAGGTGAGAGGGTGTTTTTTTTTCGTGTGGCGCGTGTTGAGAAGCTTTCCGTGCTGCCTGACGATGACGTCGATGTTTTTCAACTCGTTTGCGTGTGTTGATAATTTTTTGGTTGGCTTTGCGGTTCTTTGTCTCTTTCGACGCTGTGTGCTTTTTTCGTTGTGAGCTCTCTTGTCTCTTACGCATGCCACTCTGGTCTCTGATCGCTCGGTCGTTCTTGTTGTGTTTGCCACCGGCTTCCCTGTTTGTTGTTCACCAACTACTAACAATGCGTCAGTCCTTCGTGAAAGAGGGAATCAGTGAGTTCTTCACAATGTTCCCCTGCCTCTCGTGTGTCTGCGTGTGAACCGCGTGTGCTTGTGCTTGTACGTGTGTGTTTTTATCTCAAGACTGCGGGGCTGGACATGCAGCAGGGAGTTGTGGGCGACATGAAGGCGTTGGGTGTGCGGGAGGCATACAAGAGCAAGCTGCAGGTGGGACGAGAAACAGCAAAACAATCGCATGGATGTTGTGCAATCACGCCATGGAGCGCATTTCTTTTTGTTTGGATGCAATTCAAAGCGAATCATAGGGGGGAGCGGGCGGAAAGTAGTATCACAAGCAGCTGCGTCCCTACTTTATTTATCAAGGACTGTCTACGCTAGAACGCGAATCACCACAACGCGTACGTGGATGCATTTTTTGTTGGTACATACGTCCTTGCGAAACCTTCAGCGGCGTTCTTGTTTTTTTGCACCGCATTTCTTCGTTCTACCGACGCTAGAAGGCACAAGACTATCAAACAAGAGTGCATGTACCTGATGCCCTTTGACTTATTCCTTCGTGGGTCCTGTTTTGTGTACCCTCTTTGTTGCCACCTACAGGTGCTTATATCTGCGGCGGAGGCGGCGGAAATGGTTCTGCGGGTGGACGACATCATCAAGTGCGCGCCCCGCCAGCGCCAGCAACAGTAGTCGGACGTACCGCAAAAGAGTGTTTGATGGTGGAGTAGGACCGGCACGGGCTACGTTCGTATTTGTACCTGTCTCTGTCTTTGGCAGTAGCAACTGAGAAGAAAAGGCCGAGAGCACGATCGAGACTGAGACAGACGAATTTGTAACGAAGATTTTGATTTCGGGAAGTTTTTGATCGTTTCATTTCTTGGAAATAAAGCGAGAGGTCCCGTGCGGCATTCTAGTCTGATGCGTGGTCGATTCAGGGCGGCAGGCATAATGAAGGCAATGGCGTCTTCTTGAAACTGTCGCGACTTTTTGGTACCCAAGAGTTCTCGGAAGCTGCAGAGGGGTTGAGCCACGTATAATACATGCAAAATGCTGCCTCGGTTGTTGTCAATGGATGGAACGTCGATGAAGGGCTACACGCTCTTGTCATCAGATGGGAGAAAGCATCGGCCCGTTTTGACGAGTGAGGGCGAAAATGCACGTTGTGCGGTGGTTTACAGGAGGACGTCGTGGCATGTTTAGGCACTGCTTACCGAGCGCGCGCTGTACGACATACAGTCTCCGGACGCACAACGTGCGGCAGGCGCGCTCTCGACGGTGTTTGCACGTTGTGTCTTCACACCGAAGCGTCCGATCGAGAAAAAGCATGGGGATAGACTAGACTATAGATCTAGACTATACCCAAGCCGTTGTAAGGACTTGAGCACTTCCCTCATCCCTCGTGCTTTGCTGGAAGGTCACGACGACACGCAACCTTGCTTGCAAGAACTCCCTCTTTCCCGCATGGACACTTTGTCTGTTGGGTGTTTTTGATTGTCTACAGCAGAAACACGAAGACTCCATATCCTATACATAGGTACGGGTCTAGGGATCTTCGGTCGTGCCTTTTTTTTTTAATTCTGCCGCAGGTTTTTGTGACAGTCCGCGGACACTACCTGTGTTTCTGAAATTCCCTGAGCAAGCATATTACGATATATCCCATGTGATTAACAAGCTCATTAAGACGGTTTGGTGGTGGTCAACAACAAGACAGGATGTAGACAGGTATATTGTGTGTATACTCTCCCTTCTTCCCCTCGCTCCTCGACAAGCTTTTGCTATGACATGGGTTGTAGCGAAGGGGGGGGTCTTTCTGGCGAGCAGGGCTAGA